CCCCATGTTGCATCTCCTCTCCCTCATATCAGGGAGATCATATGATAGTTGTCTTTCTCCGATTGACTTATTTCGCTAAGCAAAGCATCTGACTCTTGATTTCAACTCAGGTCATGATCTCAGGGTTGTGAGATCCTAGCCCGGTGTTGGGCTCTATGCTGGGCATGGAGCCTGCTTAGGATTCTCTCTCTCTCCCTCTCCCTCTGTCCCTTCCCCCAGTTGATGCCCCCCCCCCGCATGGAGCCTGCTTAGGATTCTCTCTCTCTCCCTCTCCCTCTGTCCCTTGACCCCAGTTGATGCCCCCACCAAAACAAACCAAAGCAAAACTCTTAAATGTTATCCTATGATTTCTATGCTTTTGGAAGTGATGAAAGGGACAAATAGTGTTAATTTTCTTAAATTAACACTTAATAGTGTTAATTTTCTTTTTTTAAGATTTAAGATTTTAAGATTTGAAGTTTTGGTTAGTTTGGAATTCTTTTAAAAATTTCTTTATCTCAGCTAGTAGCACTTTTTAAGAAGAGAATCAGAGTTGAAATCACAGACGCTGAAAAAAAAATCTTACTACCTAAGGTTTATGTAAAACTACATAACAAGGAAGGTCATAGACATAGATAGGCTTTCATTTATTTCCTGAGCTAACCCAGGCACTGGATCTCAGTATTAATTTCTGTACTGAAAATACTGGTATCTTAAAAAAATAATTTGTTTCTTAATAAGTGATACTAAGTAGGATACATTTCAAATGTGAAAATTTATAAATATAAAACCTCATGTGTAAATTTAAGTTTTTAAGTATATATTACCCCCTACATTTTCTTCGAATATAAATTTTTAGCAGATTAAAGTATAGTATCATTCAGAAATACTATATAAAAATAAAACAATGTACAAATGAGGTAGTATTTGATCTTTAAAAAATGGCTTAAAAAACAAAATGAAATTATTGATGAGTTGAATACTTGCTGTAATGTTAGAACTGCTGAGAAAGCTCTCTGACTCTACACGGGTGGGGGATGTTATAGGAAAAATTTATAAACTATTTCAGGATTTTCTTCTCGACTGTTTAATCTTTACATAATCCCATCTTTTTATGATAACTTGTGGAGAGGATGTGGGGTAAGCGAGGATTTAATCATTTTACTAATGTGAAGCTAGTAGCATTTACTAACGTGAAGCTAGTTCTTTTTTCCAAAGGATTTTTTTCTTCATAATGTGTAGATGGAGATTTTAATGTAGTTACTTTTAACATATCTGTATGAAGTGTTGATATTCCATTTGAAAAGTCTCTGAACGAGAGGAAGATACTTATTCTTGTAGTAGAAGCTTTTGCCTTGTCAATTAAAATTTTTCTTCTTGTGGAGGTTAATGGAGGTATAGAAAAAGGCTTTCCAAATAAATGTACCTTTCTTTGATTTATAGTCATTAATTATATATATAATCTAAAAATATAAGTCATTCAGATTTTACATTTTAAACTTACTAAAATAGCAAAATTATACCAAAGAGATACAGCAATAATTTGGTACTTAATAGCCTACTATGCTAAATGCTGGAATCCTTAGAAAGCAGTTTGACTGCCCTAGAGAGGGGAATTTTGGGTATGTGTGAGATCTCAAAGTATGAAAGTTACATTCTTAACTTCACTAGAAATTGGATATTTATTACTATTTTTTTTAGTGTTTTTTTTTCTTTGTTTGAGAATCAAGATTGCATTTCTGATTTTCCCCCTTCTCAGATCCCTAAAAGGCATCTTTATTGTTGTTTTATTTTTTGTAATCCTTCAGCTTTTTAAGCTCCCTATTTTCTCTTCCAGGCTCTGGTCAGTGTTAGTCTGGTTGTTGAGACTAGGGGGGATGAGTTATATATATTGGACCTTTAGTGTTGGGTAGTATTTGATATGTCATTTCCTAGTAGCATGACCTTGGAAAAGTCAAAGTCTCTTAACTTAAGTCTTAATTTATTTTTAGAATGAAGAATATTTCTTCATGCCCTCTTCAGAGTTACTTGGAGATAAAACATTATATGCAATAATGTTTTAGAAATACTGTTACCTTCACAAGCGTGTCCTTTGAATAAAGACTTTTTTTCTTACTATTTTTTTCACCTCCAGCAAATTATATGTAGCTACTTTTTCTTATTTTGATTATAAATTTAATGTGGGCTTATTGTAGAAAGTATGAAAAATATAGGAAACTTTAAAAAATAGAAATCTGAATAATGCATCATCCCATTTTTATGTTTTTAAGGGAAATTTAGTTTTGAGGCTGAGTTCCCTGAGGGGAAGAATACTTAGTGTCATATTTATTGTTGGATTTTTTAAAGAGATTTTATTTATTTATTTGACACAGAGAGAGATCACAACGTAGGCAGAGAGGCAGGCAGAGAGAGAGGGGGGAAGCAGGCTCCCTGCCGAGCAGAGAGCCCGATGTGGGGTTCGATCCCAGGGCCCTGAGATCATGACCTGAGCCAAAGGCAGAGGCTTAACCAACTGAGCCACCGCGATGCCCCATTGTTGGATTTTTCTGTTCTTTGTGTGCATTAGGCAAAAAAATAATGCTTGTTGAGTGAATTTTCTTATGTGGGTGAATTTTTTTTATGATGTAAATTTTAGGTGTATAGCTTTATAATTTGACATGTGTATACACTACAAAGTGATCACCACCACAAGTCTAGGTACCATTCATCACCATAGACTTGGCTCCCTTTACCACTTTTGTTCACCCCCCAAGCCTCTTCCCTTCTGGTAACCACTAGTCTGCTCTCTGTATCTGCAAATTTGTTTTTGTTCTATTTTGTTCATTTGTTCATTTTTTTTAAGATTCCATATGTAAGTGGAATCATAGGGTATTTGTCTTTCTCCATCTGACTTATTTCACTTAGTATAATATCCTCAAAGTCCATCCACGTTATTGCAAATGGCAAAATTTTATTCATTTTTATGGCTGAGTGGTATTCTATTGTATATATACTATCTTTTTTATCCATACACCTGTTGGTGGCCACTTGGTTGTTTCTGTATCTTGTCTATTGCAGATAATGGTGCAGTTAGCTTAGGGTGCATGTATCTTTTCAGATAGGTGTTTTCATATTCTTCACATCAGTACCCAGAAGTGGAATATCTGTTTCACATTGTAGTTGTTAATTTTTTGAGGAATCTCCATATTGTTTTCCACTGTGGCTCTGCCAATTTACAATCCCATCAGAAGTGTGAGAGGGTTCCTTTTTCACCACATCCTCTCCGACATGTTATTTCTTGTCTTTGATAATAGCTATTCTAATAGGTATTAGGTGATGTCTCATTATGGTTATGATTTGCATTTCCCTAATTATTAGTGATGTTCATCTATACAGGTCATCTGTATATCTTCTTTGGAGAAATGTTTCTTCAGATCCCCTACCCATTTTTTAAATCAGGTTTTGGTTTTTTTGTTGTTGAGTTATATGATTTCTTTAATTATTTTAGGATAATAACCCCTTATTAGATATGTGGTTGGCTGACCTTCTCCTATTCAGTAGGTTTTCTTTGCTGTGTAGAAGCTTTTTGTGTAGTCCCATTTTGTTTATTTTTGTTTTTCATTCCTTGCCTATGGAGTTAGATACACAAAGATGTTACTAAGACCTATGTTAAGAAGCTTACCACCTGTGTTTTCTTCTAGGAATTTTATGGTTTTCAGGTCTTACATTCAAGTCTTTAATCCATTTTGAGGTAATTTTTGTGTATGGTGTAAGATAGTGGTCTAGTTTCATTACTTTGCATGTAGCTACCCTGTTTTCCCAACACTGCTTATTGAAGAGACTGTCCTTTCTCCATTATAGGTTCTTCCTCCTTTGTCAGAGATTAAGTATCCATATATGTGTTAGTTTATTTCTGGGCTTTCAATCTGTTCTGTTGCTGTGTCTGTCTGTTTTTGTACCAATACCATACTGTTTTGATTACTATAGCTTTGTAGTATAGTTTGAAATCTGGGTGCATGATGTCTCCAGCTTTGTTCTTCTTTCTCAAGATTGCTTTGCCTCTTTGGTACCTTTTGTGGTTCCATACAAATTTTACAGTTATTTGTTATAGTTCTCTGAAATATGCCATTGGAGTTTTGATAGGTATTCCTTTGAATCTGCAGATTGGTTGGCTGGTATGAACATTTTAACAATGTTAACTCTTTTAATCCTTAGGTAGAGAATATCTTTCCATTTATTTGTTTCTTCCGTTTCTTTCATGACTGTCTTAGAGTTTCCAGTGTGCAGGTCTTTCATCTTGGTTAAATTTATTCCAAGGTGTTTTTTTCTTTTTGATGCATTGTAAATGCAATTATTTTCTTTAGTCTGTATTCGTTAAAGTCAGAAGCTTGGCGAAATTTTCCTGGACATTTGAAGAGAGAGAGGAAGACATCTGACTAGCAAAAATAATAGAGGATACATATTTTCTTTTTAAGATTTTATATTTAAGTAATCTTTACACCCTCTGTGGGGCTCAAACCCATAACCCTGAGATCAAGAGTCATATATTCTACCAACTGAGCCAGCCAGGCACCCCAGGGGATGCATATTTTAAAATGACATTTTTCTAGGGACACGTGGGTAACTCAGTCTTTGGTTAAGCATTCTTGACTTCTGATTTTGGCTCAGGTCATGATCTCAGGTTGTGAGATTGAGCTTGGCCTCTGACTCCATGCTGGATGTGAAGCCTGCTTAAGATTCTCTGTCCCTCTTCTAGTGCCCCTCCCCACCTCTCCAAATAAATAGACAAACAAAGACCTACATACACAAATGACATTTTTCTATTGGCTAAAATAACAAATGAAAACATGATAGGATCATTCATAATATTTTCTAGCAGAAGTTAGCAAACAAGTTAGGGCTGTTAGATACAGAGCTACTGAGCAATTTCATATCAAAATGGATTGATAGCAAGAAAAGCTTATAACAAAATTTTAAGACTTTTTTGAATATTTGGAAATTGTAACAACTTTCTTTTTCCTTTTCTATTTTCTGTTAAACAGGATGGCTTAAATTCCTTGGTCCTTGATTTGGATTTTCCTGCCTTGAGGAAAAACAAGAATATAGATAATTTTTTAAATAGATGTGAGTAAACTTTATATTTGATCCTATCACTATACTTTTGATGAGATTTATATTACAGTTTATAATTTGTTAACCTTAAATATTTTTTAGTTTGCTATTTGGTTTGTTTTTAAATTACAAGGATTTTTTATTTTCAAAGCAAAACTGCAGAACTAGTTGCAGTTTGTAAAGTAGGTAAAGTTCAAGATTTTGTATAAATTATTGAGACTAATGATTTCAGGATAGGTTATGGCAGTTCAAAGAGCACTTCTAAATTAATATTAACAATATTAAGACTTAGGTTTACATTACCCAGGAGACTTAATGAGCTTTATGTTTGTATAAATGTAGACATTTCAGTCTAGCTAATGAAAGATAATGTGATAACAATTATTGTTGTATATGCAGTAACTTAATATTTGCCAGTATTGATGTTGCCGTGAAGGTGTAAATGAAGTCGAATTCTAAGGATAGATTCTCAAAAATAATTCAGTATTTAGTAAGCAACACAGTGAGCTTTTTAAGTTGGAATTGTCAGAGACTGGGCTGTTTTCATAATTAAATAATCTTGACTAGTTACCATATCTATCATATGTGATTACTACCTTTCAAAGAAGTAGCTTCTGAAATTTATTACTAAGATTAGCCTTGTAGGTAATGTCATAGCAGCTCTTTGCCATGATTCACAATGCGCTCTAGGACTGTGTGGGTCATCACTGTTTAGCTGTCCTCTTGTCAAGCAACAGAGTCAGAAATGAAGTAGCTTCACTGCTGCTTTTTGGTAGTTAGTAATGTTTGTTTTATATGTGTTAATAAACTGTAGAGTTTTGGTTCTTTGATGTAAAGTTAGTATGTATCTTACATTTTAAAATAGTAACCTTCGAAAACTGACAGATTTAGCAAAAAACTGAATACAGTTTCTTGAACTAAAAATCTGCTTACAAATATAGTAATTATTGAAAAGTATTGCTTATAAATTTGATCTTTTAATTACAGATGAGAAAATTGTGAAGAAAATCAGAGGGCTACAGATGAAGGCTGAAGACTATGATGTTGTGAAAGTTATTGGAAGGGGGGCTTTTGGTGAAGTGCAGCTGGTAAGAATGTGTCGTTCTGTGCTGTTATTTTATTTTTAAAGCGGGGTTTTGTGTGGTATCAGTAGCCTCTGAGTAGATCTTATTTTTTTTTTAAAGGTTTTATTTATTTATTTGACAGAGATCACAAGTAGGCAGAGAGGCAGGCAGAGAGAGAGGGAGAGAGAGGAGGAAGCAGGCTCCCTGCTGAGCAGAGAGCCCGATGTGGGACTCGATCCCAGGACCCTGGAATCATGACCTGAGCCGAAGGCAGAGGCCTTAACCCACTGAACCACCCAGGCGCCCCAGAGTAGATCTTATTTTTATGCCCGGCCACGCCAGAATTCGTTTTGTGAGCTCGGTCAAGTTATTCCGTCTCCGAGAACCTGAGTGTCTTCATCTGTAAAAGGAGGCACTGGTAATCGGTAAACCCCGGGTCTCTTCCAGCTCTGAAACCCTGAGATTTAGAATGTGCTAGGCCGGCTTGATTTCACACATTACCTACTAGCAGCCAATATTCCCCAAGAACTGTTGTGTTTTTATTTACTATGTTAAGACTAATAACATTTTTCTTTATTAGCTGAGATTTATTGAGATATATTAGAAACCCAACAAAGACATTTTTTAAAAAGATTTTATTTATTTATTTGACAGAGAGAGAGAGTGACAGTGAGAGAGGGGACACAAGCAGGGGGAGTGGGAGAGGGAGAAGCAGTCTCCCTGCAGAGCAGGGAGCCCATGCGGTGCTTGATCCCAGGACCCTAATCTGAGTCAAAGGCAAACACTTAATGACTGAGCCACCCAACAGAGGTGCCCCCAACAAAGACATTTTAATATGAAATTTATCTTTGCAGGCAAAAGTGGTACCAACCGGAAATATTCTACATGTTTGTAATCAATATTGCACTTACATATTAATTAGGAACTGTAATGATATTCCTGTTTTCATCACTTGAGTATGAAACTCCGCTTTTTTATGCTTACAAATTATTGTCTTTGGCCAAATTATGGGGTCAGATTCTGTTTTTCACTCCAACAGTGTTCTACTCTATTTGATGGAGCTTGAGAAAAGGACTGCTCACTGTGTGTTAGTACGGCTTCTCTGGGAACAAGTCATGACAGACTAACTTTATCTTTGTCATCTCTTTCATTTCTTCTTTCTTTAATAGGTTATATTGAACTTGTAGATCAGGGTAGTGTAATAGGTGTGATATACATCTGTTAGATATTTGTAAAAGTCTGTTAGGGGCGTCTGGGTGGCTCAGTGGGTTAAAGCCTCTGCCTTTGGGTTACTAGGTCATGATCCCAGGGTCCTGGGATCCAGCCCCGCAGGGAGCCTGCTTCCCTCCCTCTCTCTCTGCCTGCCTCACTGCCTACTTGTGATCTCTGTCTGTCAAATAAATAAACAAAATCTTAAAAAAAAAAAAAAAGAAAAAGTCTGATATACTTAAGAGGATATGGAAAAATGCCAATGAATAAGGAGATGAGTTAGGCAGCATTATAACTAATAGCTGTTTCTAAGGAGGCTGAGGAAGGCATAAGTGGTGCCTTGGACAGAGATCCCCAGGGATCTGTTTGTTCTCTCTTCTTCTCTTCAGGGTTTTATTAATGAGGCACTTATTGTATGGAGGCAATGGTGACATGTTGAATAATTTTACTAATGAGTTAAAGCTGAAGTATGAGAATGCTTTCAGATGAGAAGCCAAAATCTGGAAGTTGGGAAGGTCATTGGCTAGATAGAAGAAGTGAAATTTAACCTGTACTTAGGATGTGAAGAACTCAAGGAGTAGATTCCTTAACAGTAATTATGAATCAAAGAACAATTTTCCTTGAATGTAAACCAAGCAAGAATCATTGGTGATGTGGCTGCCCAAAATACTAAAGAAAGATTGGATTGTTTTGATACAGGTTTTTTCTATTTTGAGATGATTGGGCCATGCCGCGTCATTTATTCATTCTAGATGCTCTGTTACCCTGTTTTAAAGGGCACATAGATAGAGAGTACTCAAGGGATGAAATGCTCAGGGACTTGCAACAATGCCATTTGAGGTGTGGCGGAGGGAATTGAGAAGTTAACTCGGAGATTTGAGGAGTGGGCTGCCTTTGAAAGTAATAGGGTTTTTGTTTGTTTTGTTTTTAGTCAGTGAAAGTGGTGAAGTTTTGGCTGTTAGAATTCCCATGGGGCAAGGGTCAGAGATTAGATTTTGAGTTATGGGAGGTCTTGTAAGATAGGGAAAATATAAAGTAATCGAATCCTACTTCTGCCCTGGTCTAACTCAAAGAGTTATTTATTAAAAAATAAATAAGCCTAGTTATAGTGTTCCCTAAGTGTTCACCACTGTTACTATAGGCTATTTGATACAAAGATTCATACTATAAGTATGTAGAATAAATACATTGTTTCTTCATACTGAGGATTCAGTGTAGATAAAGAGGAAAGACTAGAATTTGGAGTTTTGTTTTTGGAAGGAAATATGGCAGATCCTGACTTGTCATATTTTTATGGCAATGTGGTCAATTGCTCTGTTTTAGGTGAATTTGATCATTCAACTTCAGTACATTCAAGAAAGGAAAAGAAAAGGCTTCTGTTATTGTTAATTTTCCACTCTGAATTTTATTTTGTCCATAAAACATGTAGAAACAAAGTCACATGTTTTTAGAAATGAAAAATATTTTAACATTGCTTTAGTCTGATGACCTGACACAAGAACTTGGAACATGTGTGTTTTGGCTTTACCTCTTCGTTCTATTGGTGGGAACTTTTTTTTTTAGGGAATAAAACACTGTATATATATTTTTTAATTTTTAAAAAATTTTTTATTAACATATAAGATATTATTTGCCCCAGGGGTACAGGTCTGTGAATCATCAGGCTTACACATATCATAGCACTCTTGGTGGGACTTTTTAAAAGAAGGATGAGATTAAAAAGGAAAAGTCCCGAGTTCTTTCATAGTCTTTTAGAGTTGCTTTGTATGTTGTAGATAAATTGGTTTGACAGATCTGTAGGCAGTGTTCCACATTTGGCACATCCTTATGATTATGTTTTTCTAGTCATCTGAAGAAAGTTTTTACATAGGTGCAGATTTGTCTTTCCTTGTGAAATACTTTTTTGGTCAGGTTAAAAATACATTACCACAGAGGGCCCCACCAGTCAGTTTCTTTTTTCTTTTTAAAGATTGTATTTATTTGACCAAGAGAGACAGAGTTAACACAAGCAGGGAGAGTGGGAGAGGGAGAAGCAGGCTTCCTGCTGAGCAGGGAGATTGATACAGGGCTCAGTCCCAGGACCCTGGGATCATGACCTGAGCCAAAGGCAGACGTTTAACAACTGAGCCACCCAGGTGCCCTCAGTAGTCAGTTTCTAAAAAAAAATTCTTGTTGTGAAAGTAACTTTACTATGTCACAGCAGCTATACCACAGTGTTTAAGAGCTAGAGTCAGACTACCTGCAGTTGGATTCTAACTCTCTGAGGAGCTGTCAGTGCAAACAAGTTACTTAATCACTCTGTGCCTCAGTTTCTTATCTGTTAAATGAAGATAACAATAACAATTATACCCCATAGAATTACTGGGAGAATTAAATGTAATTAAATTTGGAACAGTTCCTGGAATACAGTAAGTGCTTAGTAAATGTTAGCAGTTCATTTTCACACATAAAATGGTTCATTTATCCATCCATCAATGAATATTTAATTAGGATCTGTTACATTTCAGCGGCTATGCTAGCCTCTTAAAGATAAAATAGCATAGCTTCGATTTTTCTGCAAGTGATAGTTTTGTGGAGGCGTTTTACTTTAAACAAGTAAAGTATTTTTCAAATCATGATAAATACTGTGAAGGAAAAGATCTGGATGCTGTGAGAGAAAGATGGAGGGTTGTGCTTAATTCAGGTGTGGGTGTTAGGAAAGCCTCACTGTAAGAAAATGACACTGGAGTTATGATGTACAGGAGGAGTTAGTCACGTTAGTCACAGTATTCCTTTGGTTCGTTGATTAGCAAATGTTTGTTCAAGAAGAAATAGCATGGGAAAATGTCAGAAGTTAGGAAAGTGCCAAGTCGTTCAGTTTATTTGGGTGTAGATTTCCTCACCTGAAAAAGGCATTTTCTTACAGATTGAAAAGTTTTATAATTCAAGGAGGGCAAAATTGTTTGGCTTATTTCCTTTTTTCCTCTCTACAGAGGTGATGTACATTTATGTTTTTATATCATGAAAAGTCTGTGACATGGATGATTTTATCTGATATCACTTTTGTTTTTGGATTCTACTTTCTGGATTATTTATCACATCTCATTTTTATGGAAAATAATATTATTTAGTATAGTATATTGATTAAGAGCGGTACTTTGGAAGAATAGGCAAAATCAACTACTTCTGTTTCCATTCTACTGTCTATAGGTTTCTTGTCATCAAAACTTTAATTTCCTTATCTTGGAGTAGCATTAATAATAGAATTTAAGATTTTTTGTGAGGATTAAATTGCACTATGCTTGTGTGGTACTTACTGGGATCTGGCACATTATAGATGCTAAGTAAATATTATCTGTTGTCACTCTTGTCAGTTTCTGTGCATTTTTGAATTTAAATGTTTTAAATAAATAACCATAAGTCTCGCTCTGACTTTTATATATATGTATTGGTTTGCTAGAGCCACCATAACAAAATACCACCAGCTGTGGCTTAACCAACAGAAATTTATTTTCTCACAGTTCTGGAGGCTACAGTTTCAACATCAAGGTGTTTGCAGGTTTCATTTCTCCTAAGGCCTCTCTCCTTGGCCTGTGGATGGCCACCTTCTGTTGTGTCCTGACACAGTCTCTCCTCTGTGCTTGTATGTGCCTGGTGTGTCACTCTGTGTGTCCTAATTGTCTGTTCTTAGAAGCACACCAGTTACCTAATAGCCTCGTGTTAACTTAATCACCCCCTTCATGTCCCTGTCTCCAAATAAAGTCACATTCTGAGGTACTGGAGGTTAGGGTTTTATAATGTAACGGGCCAGGGGTCGTGTGCAGCATGTAGCACGT